ATATAATTTGTCAAACAGGGAAGAAATTGGTACTATATGACTCCATTTCTAGTTGTCTGGGCTAATACCAAGAAATCATAGAAACTGCTGGCTGCCATATTTTCCATTAAGAGGAATAGGAATTGGTCCTCTGTAGCCAGAGAAGAAATAAGGCAAAAGCATGGTACAGAATAAAAAGATGTAGTGTGTTCTACTAGCACTGGAGTTCCCAAGCTCCAGCACTGAGATTCCATGAGGCATTCACTACATTTTAACAATAATTCCCCACTCTGCAACAGGCCTTATCCACCCCCCATCCCTCACCCCCAGTTCTGGTGATTGAACCCATGGGTACTTTACCACTGCCCTTTTTATTTGTGTATTTTTTAAATTTTGAGACAAGGTCTTGCTAAGTTGGTTAGGGCCTTGATATATTGCTGAGGCTGGCCTTAAACTTGCAATCCTCCAATCCTCCTGCCTTTAGCCTCCTGAGTTACTGGGATTACAGGTCTGTACCACTCATGCCCAACTCCCCTATTATTTATATAGAATGGACTTTAATTACTTATGACCAAAATAAAGCCTACCATATACTCATATTTTATAATAGAATATTTTAACAGCAAAAACTCAGGCAGGYCATAATCTCAGAGTTTTAAAAATGATTATTCATTTCATGATATCTATGTGCCAGGAACATGTCTTAAGTTCTTGAAACACAGAATAAAACAAAAACAACCAGATCATTAGTGTCACAGGGCTTACCTTCTGGTGAGAGCACACAGATAATATTATAAAAATTCCAAATAATGAAAATGTTTTACAAAAAAACATTTACAAAAAAAAGTAATGAGATAGATTAGTTTGTGCTATCATTCTGGAAGAATGGTTAGATAGTAATGCTTTTGAGACTAGATTCTATTCTATTCTATTCTACTCTACTCTACTCTAGGAAGCAAGCCAGTCATGTAATGATTAGGAAAAGAGTTCCAGACCAAGCAAACAAGGAGTCCAAAAGTCTTAGGAGTAAACACTGGTATCACTGGGAAAAAAGGAAAAAAAAAAAAAAAAAAAAGAATTGCAGGATTTTGATGGAATACAGTAAAAAGGAGAATGGAAAAAAAGTTTTCAGAGAGCGGAAGGTCTAAGAAGAAAACACATACGTTGATAAGATAAGTAGATATGAGATCATGTATAGGAGCTAATGAGTTGTGAAAGGATTTGAAAATAAACTTTTAAAAGAAAACTCACTGTACTATCTTTTAATCTCATTTTTTTCTTAATTATTGATAACTTTAATTTATAAGCCTTTAGAAATTACCATCCTCAAGTATTTAACACAATCCTAAAGTTAGTGAGAAATATATTTTTACTAGAATACTATATAAGGAAGAAAGGAAGGAAGAGAAAGGAACTTTAGAACAAAAGAAAAACCATATTAAGGGAAAAAAGGAGAACAATCCACAATGATAGGTACTACTCCAAATTTTGTCCTTTTTTGTTATTCCACAGATGAATTTACAATGATAAAGATTATAAAAACATCTTCAAATTATTCTATCATGATTAAGGAAAGTCATAAAACTTAAGTTGTCTTAAACCACTATAAATGCCAAATTGCTTGTTTACTGAGTTCACTAGTATGAATTGAGTATTAAAAGGTAAAATACCATCAGGTATAGAAAGAGTAAAAACAAGACTTCCAACTTTGTTATACTTTATAAGAGTAACCACAGTTCAATGGTCAACAAGGTGTAGGCTTTACTCTTTATCTTTATGACTCTGATTAAGGATGAAATTCTCTTTTGTAGTGAAATGAATACTAAACTTGGTTACAAGGGATATTTCAATATCTCCTCCTCTAAAGCTTTTAAAAAGAGGAGACCAATCTGCTTAAAGAGGTTTGGATATAATATATCTCACAGAAGAGAGATAATCTCTCCAGATCCTTTCAGACAATATCTGTGTATTTCAAGCATGTAACTAAAGCTACAGTATTTCTAAGATTAATGTCAGTAAAGTTAGATCTTTGAAAACTATAACAGTCATGATTCTTTTCTTGCATACTATGTTAGATCCTTAGTTAGCCCACTCAGTAACAGTCCAAGAAGAACACTGTTAAAATAATACAGCATATAAAGAGAGGTACTTTGTGTGTGTGGAGTGAGTTAAAGAAAGAAAAGTCATTAAACACCTTGATCAAGACTGGATTCTGAGAGCATCCTCCTTAGTACATACTTTCCAGCAGTTTGGCAAAGTGCCCAAGATAATTAGCAGCCAGTGTAGGCAAAGGAGGGATATGGTCAAGCTAAACTGTAAAGTCTCCCCCCAGTGGTCACACACAAACAGAAAAAAGAAAAAAAGTGTGGGAAAATCACTGCAGCTTCTTTGAGACTGACCAAAATACTCTAAGCAAAACTGATCCCTTCAAAATAAAATAAAATAAAATAAAATAAAATAAAATTTTTAATTCATTAGCACCATATCAGTAGAGCTATCTCTCCTGTTATCTGCTCTTATGATGCAGTATTTACATATGTGAAGACTAATTTTGGTAAGAAAGAACCTATGGGTAAAACAAAACTAGAATAATTTTTTTCAGGGCTGACAATATCTCAAAGCAGCAGAGAAATAGGCATGTGTTCATTCTTTCTGAAATAAAGATCAGCACATCCCTTCCAATTTAACTATTTACTTGAAGCAGAGGTATGATACAAATTTAGTCCCTCATCATGTGAAATACTTTGGAAAGTAAAATTAACAAAATTTTCTTTACCAGAAAACTAGGTAACTTATATTAAATCATGTAAAAACTTCAAATGAGTCCTCTTGCCTCTTTTATTTATTTATTTATTGGTACTTTTGTAACAGGCTTTGATTAATATGAACCTTGTGTTATTTGAAACTTTCTCAACAATAATTTGCTGATGCTACCCACTTTTAATAAGGCTCAAATGTCAAAAATGCAAAAGGGATTTAATTGAAACATCTGTTTTCTTTCACTAACCATTAATTATTCAATATTGAAGAATAATATAAAAGGATGGTAAATTTTCAAACAGCCAACTTAATGTTAAAAACAGTTGTTTTTTTTTTTTTTTTTTTTTTTTTTTTTTTTAAGGTAATTTAGCTTCTCAAGATTTTTCTTGCTTATCCCAAGCTAAAACAAGGTGGGGAGAAGCAGTCTGGGTGGTCTGATAGAACAATTTCAGCCTGAAATGAGACTCCAAAAAGCAAATTGCTCCCTCCAATGTTTAAGAAAAATGATTCATTTTTGAAAATCCAACAGTTACCCTAAAGCGGGTGGGGGAATTCTGTATTGTGTAAAGAGGTGGACATGCAGTCATTTTGATTTCTAGGTGGAAAAAGAATTCAATGGCATCAATAAGGACATACACACTCCTTTCACCCTGTGTGGTCTCTATAGGACAAACTAGAGCAATTAAAAATGTTACCATTTGTGTATTATGTAACCGTAGTCTAGAAGAAAAAAAGCATGGGCCTTAAGGAGTAAAACATTGTGCAAACATGAATTTAAATATGTATTTAAATGTATGATAGATTTAAGATACAAATGACCTCAAAATGACACAATCACTAAAGTTCTTTATATACAGTAATCAGGCCCTGAAGACAACTATAATCAGGCCTGGATGCTTATCATAATTGCACAGTAGACACCTAAAATAAGCAGTACGTTATTAGCTGAGGTCCCTTGTTAGACCTATGTACCAAAAACTATCTCCTCATTAATAACAGTGTATTATCTCGCCTAATACATTTGACAAATGTAAGCTTCTGATCTATTATTTCAAAGATTTCACGGGAAGAAATGAATGCTAAATCATACTCCAATTGAAAGCATTTTAATGCCGCCACCCCCCTCCCCCGCAATGTTCTTGGCTATATTACAAGGTAACCAATTCAGCAAGCATGAAGTAAAATTCCGACAATTCTCAAAGCCATAGGAAGAGGAAAACGTGGCTAACCTGACCTTAACCGGCAGTTTATAAGTAATGCGGAGAATTTTCTGAGCCTCCCGGTCAGTCTTCAATTCTCTTCCTCGCCTCTCCCTCCCCCACCTACACAAATGCACGCCTCAACAGATGAAGTTTAATAGATATAATCCCAGGAGCTGATAGGATTGAGACTAAACTCCCAATAAAGTATCAGAAAGTCTTCTGCAAAAAAACACCCACCAACCAATCCACAAGCTGTCATCACACTGTGGGATCCTTCAACAGACTCCTTCCTGACCCCACCCCCCCCCCGCCCTGAGAGACAGGGAGGGGGAGGGCGAGGGGAGCCCCGGCACCTTTCTGGTTCCGGATAAATGTACCTAAAATCAGGGGGCACGGTCTCTGCAGCGAACGCCCCCGGAGCAGTGCGTGCTCTGCCCACCACCACTTTGGCCAAACAACTGGAATCCCGTGCCTCGGAAGTAGCAGCAGTAGTTGCAGAAAGCCTCCTCCCCCCCCAAACTCCGAGCTCGAGAGAGAGCCAGAAACCGGCGGAATCGCCCCCTCTCGGGACTGACCCCAAAGGTGTCAGTCACAGCAACACCGCCCCCGGCACGTCTCTCCATTCATGTTTTAACGCTACTCCAGCCGCAGAGGGTGTCAGCACCCGAGCTCCGCGCCTAGAGAGGGCCCTAGGCGCCGGTAGCCCCAACCCCAGCTCCAGCCTGGGCCACGCCGGAGAGCGCGAGGCGCCGCGCGGCTGCCAGCAGCATGCGCCAGACACGTTGCCGCGCTCCTACCCGCCCGACCGCTGCACGCAGCCCGCAAGCTAGGTGTCCGGCCCAGGGCGCCCCTTCCGCGCGAGTCGGGCGGGCCGGGCGTCGGAGCTGCAAACAGCCTCCCTATTCGCRCCGCCCCCACCTCCGCGGAAGCCCAGGTGCTCAGGGGCGGGGCGGGCCAGGGTCCCGCGTGGCGCGCCGCAAAAAAGCAACAGGGCGCCCCCAGGCCGGCCGGCGCGCGCCGAGACCGTTACCCGAGTGGCTTGGGGCCCCAGCAACTCACCGGCTCGCACCTCGGCCGCCTCCGCGCCGCCGCTCCTCAGCTCCCGCCGCCGCCGCTGCTCTGCCTCAGCCGCAGGCGCCGCTGAGCAGCCCCATCTACAAACTCGGGGCTTGTAGTTGGGTATTAGAAATGCGTCTCTCACTGTCCCCCGCCTTCCCCTCCCTCCGCCCCCTTCGTCGCCACCCACTCCGCCCTGGCTCCGGTCGCTACCGCCACCGCGCGCGCGGCCAACCTCCCCTCAGCCACCCTCCTCCTCCTCGTCCTCCTCCTCCTCGTCCTCCTCCTCCCCGCGCTGTTGCCGCCGCCGCCGGGGCGCGCTCCCTCCCGGCCTCGCGCGTGCGCGGGACGCCGGGGAGCGCGCGCTCGGGCGCGAGGAGGCGCCACCGCCTCCGGGAAGCTCCTCGTCCTCCTCCTCCCCGCGCTGTTGCCGCCGCCGCCGGGGCGCGCTCCCTCCCGGCCTCGCGCGTGCGCGGGACGCCGGGGAGCGCGCGCTCGGGCGCGAGGAGGCGCCACCGCCTCCGGGAAGCCGGGCCCCGCCCCTTCGGCAGCGGCGCGGCGGCCAGGTGGAGCCCCCTTTGAGTGCCCCGCCTGCCTAGCCGCGGGCTCGGGGTCAGGGCACAGCCGTCGCCGCGCAGTGCTAGCAGGAGGGTTTGTCCCACCCAGTCCACGCTGATCTTCCAGGCCGAAATCGTCGTTGTCATTCAGCATTTGCTGTTGGCCAAGATATTCCACCCGGCATGAAAGAGGCCCCTCCCTGCCCTTTCTGAGAGTTTACAGTGAAAGTATCCAGTCAAGGGACACAAAGGAGAAACAAACCTCGAAGAAAAACCTACGGGAAATCTGCCCCTTCTCCCTTACACACCCCTGACTTTGATGTGTATTTGTCAGGTTCTGCAGCATCATGTCCTTCATGAATTTTCTCCCAAAGGCTCAACAGGAGAGTGTGATTCACACCCTAGGAAATGGACGGACACTAGCTCTTTTCATATTACCAAAGCTCCCCTGGAACTCTGGAGCCGGCTTTGCCAGACACTCCCCGGACACAGTTGTTCAGCTCCTCCCAAACATCTGGCCCTCCCAGGCCTGGAACGGAGGGGATTCGCCATCCTCTCAGTCCTGGCTCCTCGTGGAGCGTGGTGAATTGTGGACTGTCCGGGTGTGCAGATGACACATTTTGACAGGAGTGCAGATTTAATTTTTCAGTTGAAAGAAAGTGAGCAACGCAGTGCAGCAGAGGCTTCTAGCTACAAAAACACAGCAACGCAGTCAAAGCACTTCGGATCCCTATCCCTTTGGACTTTTCTGCGAACCCTCAGTCCAAGGATGGGTGCTTTTGGAAAAGCTGTCGTGTTCTTCCTAAAGCTGAAGAAGCTATTAGGTTGTTATTTCAATGGAACAAAATGTTTACTGCAGCCTTTTCAAACCATGAACGTAGAAAGTGCAAGTAAAACTTCTCATGTGACAATACATCAGGTGGCTTCCTCTATGCATCCTTTCCTGGTTTCTCTTAGGCACCTTTGCACAGCTGCTGCCCAATCCAGGTTTTTCATAAATGTTTATAAAACTAGTGAATGTATCATGGCCCTTTGTATTCAGAGACTTAGTTATGAAATGTATTGTCTCCTGTTTGTTAACGTGGCAGGCATGGAAAGGAGGAAGATAATGCCATGGGGATGTGGGTGTTAAGAGGGCCCAGTGCTCAAAGCAGTGAATTTTGTCTTTAGCTTCAACATCAAAGATTAATTTGCTTTTCCATGAGGATCATTAATTTTGCAAACTAATACATAGGGGCACWTTTTAGAGTTTTAATTCAGAACCTTCTTTCCTGGAACAGCAAACCTGAGGAAGGGAAATTGAAAGCAATTAAGGAAACCTGAATGTGCGAAAGTGCACAATATAACTTTGGGCAGATGTTGTGACCCCCTATAGTCAGGCCAGCTGGATGAAATAACATGGAATGGGTCCAGTAGCCTGTCAAGGCAGAGGCAGTAGGAAAGCATGTGGTTTTTTTTCTCAGGGAATCAGCAGACTTCTCTTCTCAGGGAATTGCTGCCCCAGGATTCCCAATGGCTTTTCACCCTACCTCACCCTACCTCAACTCTGTAAACCTCTCTTCTTCTGTTTCTACCTAAACACACCCTCTCCTACCCAGCTAGTGTACTTGCCCTAAGTTGCTCTTGGAGCAGGTCTGGGGTGTGGATGACATTTCTGGGTGTGTTGCTGATCCCTTATAGTGCATTTTTATTTTCTCAAGGATCTTGTAGAAACAATGTTCCAACGTCCTAGTCCACCTCCACTCATGGCAAGTAAGATAAAGTTAGCTGGGGAAGTTTTAGGGTATAAGAGTAGTCTCTACTCCTTAAATCACAACATGCACATGAACTCTACTTACAATCTAGAACAAGCCCTGACCAACATCATTGTCTCTGTGTACCAGGGACTCAACATCTAGGAGCAAGAACAGGTATCTATTACTTTCAATTCCAAAACTGTTCTCTAAATAATGACAGCAGCTACTAGAGGCTTATCATTTTAAGTCTCAGCCTCATCCTCAGAATCAGAAAAATGATTTTCCTCCTATAACTATATTCAATAACTCCCTTCAAGGGAGCTCTTTCCAGTGAAGTTTTTCTTTCAGTGTCCATATTTTATCAAATGCTATATATGTTATATTATGAAACATTACTTCTTTATATAAGTAATAGCCCCACCTTATGACATTCTGCCCTTCCTCTAAACTTTAAAAGTGGAACATATCAGAGCAAATGTAAAATGATCTAATGTGAACCCTGGAACTCCTATCACTGCTTGCCAGCTCACCTTGCTGAGAGGTCATCATTTCTAAGACACTACCCATTCATTTCCCATACCTGTTACAAAGCCTTCATTGTAGGAGAGGTGAACAYTATGATTGAAAATAATGGTGAATCTTTCACTTTAGTGTCCTTGAGGTTCTGACTTTTCATTTCCTTCAAGGTTACTCTAAAKGAATCAAAATTTTGCCATAGTCTATCTCCTATAATCATAATTCAATTTAAAAATCTGTATTTTGATTCTTAATTGGAGAACATCATCATTTGCTTTTATTTTCCTCCTTCAAATATGGCCAAAAGGTTTACATGATTGTTTTATTTTCTGACCTGCTTTGCGACAACAAAATGAAGAATTGTGTAATAGTTAAGAACCCCAGAATTTTAGCAAAAGCAAGTCCTATCTGTTCATTTTCCAACTAATCCATCACAATAAGAGCAGMAATGCTCCTGGAGGAAAACTTCATGAAAAATTGCAACTGACATGCATCACAAAGTCCAACCAAATTTTCCTCCAGAATACTTTATTTAGCTTTGCCTCTTTTATCTCTGTACCAAAGCTAGGTCAGACTCCCATTTCCAGACTCCTTGCTACCCTTTCTAATTCTAGCCTCCCTCTTAATTGCTTGCATTTTACCCTACACTCAGAGCAATGTACTCTACACCCAAATTTGGCTGTTTATTGAAATCATCCAAAGAACTGTTTAAACATTGATGCCTGAGTCCCACCCCTATATCTAATTGGTCTGGAGTGCAATCTGAGCACCAGGACTTTCCAAACCTCTCCGGGTAATTCTAATATGCAGCCAGTCTTAAGAACTGTGGAAATGAATCATCTTCTAGGCAACATTTATACCAAGTCTTTTCAGAACACTGGGGTAGCTCCAAATTATCTCAAGTAATCAAATTAAAATACCTAATCCTGTGCTTTAAGACTCTTTGCCAATTGACTAGAATAGTCCCCTTTCAAAACAGCTTAAATTTATCTCCTTCCTAAAGCTTCCCTAGATTAGTCTTACCTGGCTGCCTGAAAATCACTGTTCCCAAATCTCTGAGCATTCCTAGTTTACAAAACCTTGAACCACAGTTAACTGTGTATATTATTGTTTTAATCTTGCTTTCATAGATATCTGTCAGAGGCTTTTCTTGTAATCTAAATCTCTTCAAAATTCCACGGGTTGACAGATAATCAAAAATAAAAAAAAATGTTATTCTTGGCAGAATTTTCTACTCTAAATTAGCTACCTGAAAGAACATCCCCAAGCACAATAGCAGTTCATTTTAAAAAATCATTACTATTAAAGCCAACAGTTGTAAGAATTTAAAAGTTTCAGGTTGTTTCTTACAAAAGAAAAACTCTGTATATGGGGGGGGGCATATCCCTACCTATCCTTACCATTATCAATTTAGGCATTGGAATTTGACTTTCACACCTGACATTTTGATTCATGTGCTTATTAATTTACCAGTTTATTGGTGATAAGTACTAGGAATAAAACAATTAACAATATCAAATAGCCTTTACCTAATGGTRGATAAATACTAAGCAATTATAATATCACTTGGTAAGTCCTACGTTAGTCATCTTAATAGGACATAATGRAATTATGGYGGAGCCTGGGGTCTTTGCTCAGTGTTCATGCAGTTCAGTCTCTCTACAGTGTTTGAGGAGGTAAAACTCACTCCCAGTTTTTGAACCTCTCCTTTCCTGATACTATACAGACTCCTCCTACTTCTCTGTTTCATCTCTGACCCTTATCTGGTTGCTTAATCTCCTCCCACTTCTTAAATAAATATGTTTCACTAAGTGTAAGAGATTTCTGAAAGTATATATAAAGAAAATAGTCCTGGTTTTTTYGAGAATCTCATGGATTTGAGGTCAGGGCAGTTCACGCTACTTGGGAGGCTAGGCAGGAGGATCGAAAGTTTGATATCAACCTGGGCTATTTAGATCCTGGCTCAAAAATATAAAGGTCTGGGGTTGTAATTCAGTGGTAGATCACCCCTGAATTTAATCCCCAGAACCAGGAAAACCCTTTAAAAAGGAATTTCTTGGAGCCTTGGGGCTCTTGCACCAGTGTTCCCAAATCTCTCTCTTCTTTCTTTGGAGGCACATTTTCAACTCCCTGTTGAGTATCTCTATCAGGATAAGCCAATAACAGCTCAGATTAACTTGTCTGAAATCAAATTCACTGCTTCTGGCCATCCTAAACCTGCCTTCAGTTTTCTCTGGCACTTTTCTTTCTATTACCTCTCTTATTTTCTCCCTAACAGGCATATATTTASCCTGCACCCAGTTCTCTTGAAACTCACTTCCT